CCGCTCCTCACTCCCCGCGCTCCCCGCCGGCCAGGTTCACCTCTGACTCCGTTCTCCTCCCCCTGGGGCTCTGGCTAAGCTGTGTTGCCGTCAGACCTCCGCGGAGTGGAAAGCGGGGACCCGCAGGATGCCGTCAGGAAGCGGCGCTTCGCGGGTGAGGTACGGGCACGACCGAGGCGCCCCGCGGGGCACAGCTGTGGCTGAGCGGGCAGCAGGCTCCGGCGTCCCCTCTGCGTGCGTTATCCCGCACAGCCAGCAATGCCGCACGTTATCCAAGTAACAGGAGCAAGGAATCTGATGAGAAGAAAGCAACATGGAAGAAAAGCTAACCGAAAAGTGTAGAAGGAAGAGGCATTAAATGAATACATTAAGATCACTAAAATGAGCAATTTATGGCTGTAGTGTTGGCAGAATGGCTTTTGCTGCCAGCAGCAAATGCATAGTGTTAAGAGGTTATGACAAAACTATTCGGTAGGGCCTTGCCAGAATCAAGAATGTGCACCAAATAGGTTGTATGAACTGTTTGTAGTAGGTTGATGGCTTCCCACTATAACGATCACTGAGTGACTCATGGAGCAGACTGGTTAGTGTATGACCAAGTTTTTCAACTATGAAACATTTTCATTACCTGTGAAGGTGCTCAGAGATTTTATATTCATTTATTAAAGCAGGAAACAGGGATACTTGGTATCTGGAGATGATCTGGGGTAGTTACAAATACACAATAATAGGCTACAGAAATTTTTCCCTTTGCAGTCAGAGATTTTTTTTTTTTTAATATAAAAGTTCAAACAGAACAAGCATTGCTGTTTCAGTCCCAAGATGTTTTATACCTTAGAAATCTCCTCATCCCCTGGCCACACCAGTATTTTATAACCCTAAACTAAAAACTATTTCAACAATAACAACGTGGAAGTATATCCCCAATTGCATACCATGTAGTCACAGATGTAACATACCGCACCTGTAAAGTACAGTGGGTTGGGATAAAAATCAGAATCCTTTTTGCAGTGTAGTCTTGCATTTACTTCCTACCTCGGCCTTAAAAGAAATCAGGTTATCTCATCTCCCCAGAACATAACCAACAGGACATAACTGGGACAAGATATCCTTTCCTCAAGCTATAATCAGCAAGTGCCTCGGTGTCTGGCTAGAAGTCTCATGCAGGCACAGAGAACGCTTTGGTTTCAACTTGGTTTTGTGTTTGTCCTGATGTGTAAACCGCTATACTGAAATGGAAAACAAGGCAGCCTGTTGCTTCACCTGAACAGTTTCCACACCTTCCTTTCATTGGACTTCTCTCTTTTGCCACATGACCTTTCTTATGACCCTTTAGGCAAAGTGGGATGGTCTTAAACACCTGAGATTGCTGGCCCTCGGTCTGCTTCTTGCCAATGGGTTGCTGGTCTAAAGTGGCTGAAATGGAAAAATGCAAGTAAACAGGAAAATATAAAAGGAAGAAAAACTAGGAGACCTGAAAAAGACCCCAAAATGGCACTGCACAGAAAGTTAAAAGTGAGCAAGAGTCATGATGTGGCCAAAAAAACAGATCAATGAAGTTTGCAAAAAGCCTCATTTTATAGACCAGGAAGTTATTATTTCCCCTCTTTGGGGGTCTGGTTACTACTTCAGAATATGATTTCAGTTTTGGGTTGCTGTTTGTGTGACTATTTTTATATTGGATTTGTCTCATCTGATCAGAACAAATGCCATCAACTTCATAAAACAATGACAATTATTAACACATGCCTTAAATACCCAAACATATGCACGTTTCACAAGTGAAGGTACAGGACTGAACAGTGAAAGGTTTTCAAGGACTTTCAAAGACCTATAATTGTCTTTAGTACTTTTAAACATCTCATATCGGATTATTTTTTTTTTTTTAAGGTGGAACCAGCATTAAAAGGAGTGTATCTATCATAAAAACTTCACACACTTTGAATACACAAAGTAATGCAACAATTTATACACTATTCTGAAAGTTTACACAAAGAACTGAACTTGGAGTTTAATCTTCAAACATTGTATTTTAATAGACTATACAGTATTTTACAGCCAAATACAATCTTTAGTTAAAATATTTGTAGTTTAAATGGATTTAACAGCAAAACTTGAAGCTTGTTATAAAGTGACAAACTTAACTTCATATGGTGTGTAATACAAATCTCAATTTACACAGCTTTTTAATCACATTCTTGCAGAATCTTGTGAGATAAAGAACTAAGAGTCTGCTCCAACTCTGTGCATTTTTTGACAGTCATTAGTTAGAATTTATGAATCCTTTGAATGAATTCCATAGGAATGGTGTTTTCATCAGAAAACAAGAGTAGTCTCTAATTACTTTCAGTGTTTGTTAACACCTACTGCAGTGAGCAACCAGAAAAGTTGTGCACAGGCAGCTAAATTAAAAAAGGAATATAAAACCAAGTATTTACACCTGTTAACAAAAATAACTTGGTTTTCAGAATGTACAGATAACTTAATAGAAAATCACTTTTTGAAAAGCACAAGCAAATGAAAACAGGTTTAGAATAATATCTTTTATTTTGACTAGAGATTTTTTTATATATCTGATTTACTAAGTTTATAATATTGCTTTCTAATATTGTAATATTACGTTTATAAGACCTTGATATTTGTCTTCTGCCATGAATTATAAAGCTGGGTATTTTACAACAGAGGTAATACTCCGTTCTTCACACTCATTCCATTTTATTAACTCAGTACCTATCAGGTTATTTTTAAAATTCCCATACAGTAGAATACAAAAAACATTAGTTAACTGACACTGCTTTAAAATTGTGTTACTGCTTTTTAAAAAAAAAAAAAGAATTAGTTTTTATTTTACATATCATCTGAGCTCATAATTAATATTTTTTCATGCAGCAACTGTGCAGATTAAAAATATTATTGAACAATCTTGCATAACTTATAAATTGTTTTTCCATCTGACGTTGGGAGATGCCTCATGTACTGCTAAGAAAAAAAAAAGACCAAATTAGTCACAAACTAACACCTAGATGCTATATATAAACATTCGACTATCTCAAACTTAACCCATACATGCATATGGATGTCTGTACACGTAATTTTTTATTAAAATTATTGGAATACTTTTGTTCATACCAGCTTTGAGTTTTAATGGAAGGTGATAAACATTAACTGTTTCACAATGTAACCTAGCAAAATAAACCTATTAAAAAAGGGTTTAATAATTCTACAGTTATTAGAATAGTAAATCTTCTAGATATTAAGAAATTTGAGGTAGCAGAGCACTTGTTGCATTTTCTGAAATTTATGAACTTTAGAGGAAAAAAACCCTGTGCTGCTAAATTAAGAACAGTCAAATTATTTCTCTCTTCATCAATTTTTTTTAAAAATGTGAAACAATGACCAAGATATTTATATCCAAACATGAGAGAAAGCTTACATGCACATATTGTGCCATGCGCCTGTATACAAGACCTTATTTTTCTGTTTTAAGTGAGAAAGCAAATCTGTAAAGGTAGTATCACTCTTAACTGAAGTTATCAAAGTTATGTACCAACATAAACTGCAATCCCTAGAATGAAGTGGTGAATTAATAACCGCAGCAGCCAGCATATGGCCCTAATTTACACAGAGTAGCTCTCCTGTAACATCCTAATATGCCTGTCACATTCCTCACTGATACAGACAACATGCTTCTTTGGAAAGATATTTATTGAAAATTAAGCAGACAAGAGTTATGACTGCAACTCAAGTCTTCCATAATGAGAACAAAACTTGAAATACTGCCACTTAGGCTATGTGGAAAGGACACTGTATTAAAACCAAATGAACAAGTAAAAGAAACAATTTTCCTTAACAGATGTCCTTAATTTGAACTGAAAAACTGACTAAAGTAACACGATGTTAAGTGTTTATCATAGGTCTGGGTCTAAGCGTGTATTTAAAAATTTAGCAACTGTTTCCACACTGCAGAGATCAGCACAGAAAAGCCTCAAGTGTTCTGATGAGACTGCTTTCCTCCTCCTCCTCTGTGAACACAAACTGAAGATACTTTAAAGGGCACTTCTTGTGCTTTGTGGAAAGCAGCAGCACACAGCTGCACCAAGGACCTCCAACTGGAGCAGGAGAGTCACAACAATTCTTCTGATTAGTATCTCCTCTAGTTATTTGAGCTTTCTAATAATTTTAAGTAGTTGCCACTTCATGAACAGGTATCTGACTGAAGCTCTGTATCTCCTGTCTCTTAAAAATCAAAGGTGATTTCTGAGGAAAGCTGAGCTATTTTTGCACAGTAAGCATGAAAAGGGTGTTTTGGTAAAAAAACCAAAACCAAACCAACAACCCAATAAAAAACCTGGCTCAAAAGATGAAAGCCTACTCAGACAAATTAATTCCTGGACATTTAAGATGCATACACACAGTCTTTTGTACAGAGGACTGAAAGGTCTATCTTTAAAGAGAACATTAATTTATCCACTACTTCATCCAAACAGAAAATGTTGTTGCTTGAGATACTTTGGCAGTGAAAAGGAAGGAATAAATAGTCAATAGCATCTGATTGCCCAGAGGAATTTAGTGGAGCCAAACTGGAAAAATGTGTAGGTCCATAATTTATGTTAATGACCAAGAATTGAGATCACATTTAGAAAAAACGTACAGTAAGTATCACGTTGGTAAGCTTCCATGGTATTCTGCACAAAATACGCTTTAAGACATTTCCTGAACTTCAGTAATGACCGTATTCATGTGACTCTAGTCCATTTTCTTTGAATAAAAAGCAGCTTGTTATTATTACAAAAATTGTCTCAGTTGTTCAATTAGGATCTAGTAGTTGATTTATAATTAAAATAAACAAAAGGTCTGAGTTGGAAAAAATACACTAATTTTATGTTGTTATTCAGGCTGGTAAATGCTGAAAATTTGAAAGAGTTTTAAATATTCCTGTAATTATTCACTTATAAGTAGACAGTCCTGGGTGCAGTTATGCAACGTACAGAAAGAAATATTTTCCTTAGCTTCTGGCTGAATAATGTTTCCAAATGCATATGCCACTACAGAAATAGAATAGTTCACCTTGTTCACTAAAAGTGAAGGCAAAATGTAAAAACAGTAAACTAAATATAGTTGCTCTACTTAAGTACTGTACTAATCAGAAATTGTAAAAATTTACTGTGTAATTTTAACCACCTCTATAAAACATCCATACAACAATATGCATTTAGGAAAGGCAGGAACGTAAAATGTAATCCCATAAAATGCTCTGTACATGCATATGTAGGTATGAATTTCAGAAAATACACAAAGGTCTAAGTGCTAGCATTAACAACATATTCTACAGTATGTTTTAAATCGAAATTTAAAGGTATATGCATTGCGGTAACCTGTGCTCTAAGCATGTCACAAATACTTTATCAAATATTTTCTAGAAGTTTGGAAATACTGTATAAGCATAGGTTTTTTTGTTTATAACCCTACTTCAAGTTGTCTGAAGGACAGCTACTGCAATTAATTGCAGGTTTGTTTTTTTTTTTCCCAGGGCATAACGCACTAAAATACAATAAGAAACAGTACACAGAAAATAAAAATGTAAATAACCCTCCTTCCACCCCTCCATCCACAACTTACACACTTTTCCTTCTTTTTCCAACTTCTTCAAGTGGACTAGGAGGTTATTTTCTGCTGCTAGAAGTAAATTTTCAGGGATCTCCTGATGGGAATACAAATATGCATTCTGTATTTGTTTAAACATCTCCCAAATATTTTTTCTATATACGGAACTCATGGTTTATTAACATAGATTTTTCTCTTCTGAATTGCCATGTTGAACAGTCAGTTATATAATGACAACAAATGAGTAAATCGAGTTTACACCAGTTAAACTAGTAGCCTAATAACACATTTTTGTTTACTTTGCTCATTTATTGCATTATCCATTTGTATTATGCAAACTTTCACCAGCACTAAGAAGACTACTCTTCTGAGCTCGCTCTGCACTGGTTTGTCAGCATTTTTAAAGACAAATTTAGAAATGCATTTCTCCACAGATACCTATTACTTCTATTCCATGACAATATTTGCATGGGTTTAAATATACTTTAACAATTAGTATAAGTAAATGAGTAAACAATTTCAAAAAACAACAGCTTCTGGAGGGTAAAATGTCCCTAAAATTTTCCAATGCTCATTAGGTAAAAAACAAACATTTCTCAAAATCCCCCAACCCAGCACTATCTTCCTAAAAGTAAAGCTGCCTTTTTGAAAATTAGAAAGTTCTCCAAATAACACGAATCATGCAGGAAAGGCATATTTTTCTTTTAATATGAAAGCTTTAGTGGTACTGAGAAAAGTCTTATCATATAGTGACAGGACAAGTGGTTTGTGATTTATAGAAATGTGAGTGGTTGTATACTTAAAAAACAGGCAAGGAAACTGCAGGAGGTAAACAGCCACAGGTAACAGTACATCAGCATTGCAAAATGTTCAATGTGATGTAGTCATTCTTTTGTAAAGTGGGGATCAGCAGAAACATGAAAAATGAGTTGTGAAGCTGTTGCAGACCTGTTCACAAACCATAGCCACTAGCAGCTTTGACATCTTCCTCTGAAGCAAATGATGTATCTCTTTGATCTCTACTTGCTAGGAGGGGTAACCCCCATACCACATGAGCAAGTTACTGAGGCTACACAAAGAACGATGAAGTAGTAAAAAAGTACTCTTATGCCTGTCTAATGACACACACAAGCCACCCAGATTCTGAGTGGAATATCCATCTGTCAAATTGCAGTTCACCTGCATCTTCTTGCAGACTGATAAATCGGGAACTAGAAGTTTTAACCAATCTTTCAGGAAACTACAAATACACTTTAAGAGACCAAAAATTAACTGCCATCTCATACTTTTCACTTAGAACCAAGCACTACAACTTTATTTTTGCTTGGTCCTATGAAATGGTGCTTAGGAACATCTAGGTAGTGAAATAAAAAGCTTGTAAGAATCATCTGGTCCCCACTCCAAGGAACTGCTCAAACAATACAATTTAAATGCACAGCCATATATGAATTCTGAGCAAGCAGAATTATTTTCTTTTTTTTTTTCCTTCCCCTCTCTTAAAAAGCCACCATGGTCTTCACTCAAATACGTAAAACAGTTACACACAATTTTATGAACATAATCTCAATTTTCTTTAGTTTGATCTAAAAACTTTTAATCAACAATTACCTTGTATACTATCTTTACAAGCTCCGAGGATGTATATGATTTTCCAGCATTATTCTGGAAAACATTTAGAATTTGTTGTTCCCGTGCCATTCGGTGAGAAATATAGCCTTGGATTCTAGCATTCGTGTCACGCACTACTGGGCCATGACCTAAATCAAAACACATGTACAGAGCTATTACTTAAATTTGCAATTAAGTATGCTACTGAATAATTGAATCATTCTTATGTAAATTCTGGTAGACTTAAAAGTCATAAAAAGGGAGCAGCACCTGTACATACCACCCTGTCAGAATATCCTTGATGTTAAATTGTAAGACACTCTTTGCATGTTTTTTTGTTTGGGTTTGGTTTTTTTGGGGTTTTTTTTTGGTTTTTTTTGCATATAAATTGGCTAAAATTAAGTTTGAATGTCTGCATCACAGTCTGCAATTGAAAAGCATTAAGATGGAAAGGAAGAATTAGGATCTGAAAAGTCTGAATGGGGAAAGGGAAAACTTCAGACAGAATAAAGAAAGCAAGGAAAGACTACTTTAGGCTATTTAAAAAAAAAAAAAAAAAGAGTTCACTGTTTAACAGATTTGAAAGATGAGATTCAGATTATTATATCACCTCTGGCTGCCTGCCTCACTCTCCCCAAAGGATATGCTACTGATGATTTAAACTGATACTGGTCTTTGCAAAGTAGCGGCTGAGGCAAAGGACTTGTACTCCTGTCCTGCTGTAGGGCTATCCAGCAAACACAGAGGTGAGAGAAGTAACATCTTTAATTGTGACAGATAAATTTTCCAGGACAGATCTTCAAAACTCACTCACACGCTGTACTTTATTCCCCTAAGAACATACTTTCATAAGTATGATCAAAAAAATCAACACGGCAAATCAGTGAGCCAATCTGAACGTGTCAGGGCAGGAGTAAGCAATGCACAAGGAAGGTTATATGTGGTTCGGTTTGTGTCTGGCTGGTTAACACACACGTGTTTCTTCCTGGACTTATCGTGGCAGATCAGAAATGTTCAACTTACTGAAAGGTCTTTGAATCAAATTAGAAAAAGGCTTAATTGGTAAAGCACTAACCTTGTGGAAAAATCAAATCAAGATACACTAAAATGACAGATGAAATTAAAATATTTTTCAGGCATGAGTTACATGTACAGAAATTAATGTTTTACCTACAGAGAAATTTACTTGCATGAATATTTGTCACATGCTTCTTATAGCAAGGTTTCCTATTTCTTTGCCTGTATACTTCACCTGAAGTAGCAGCAGCAACTTGCAGCTCTGCCAGACTAAACTCCAAGCAATTTATAAAACCAGTAGAACAGAAACTACTGTTAAAAAATAGCTTTATTTTAGAAGTTACTGGGTATCATCCAAAACAGACAGTTTCTTTTGAGGTTCTCTGACTCTTTTTTAAAAAAAAATTGTATTTTTCACCTGTATTTTTGGGTTAACTGACTAAACGCTTTTTTAGTTTTAAGGCTTTTAAAATTAGAGCTTATTTTGCCTGAGGACAAGCAGCTCATAGAAAAAGAGCAACTAATTTTTCCTGTTTTGAATGTTTGTGAAATAAAAAAAGTGTTAAAGAAATCTGTCCTTCAGCAAGTCAAAATATTTATGCATATCTCAACTTATACACTCACTTCAGCAGATTTGAAATGACTAAATATACATTGAAGCCTACCTTGTGTAAAGATAGTAATACAAATATATATGTAAAAATCTATATTTTTATGTATAACAGATGTGTAAATAGAAAACTATACTGTCATATGTACTTATATTTAATGATTTCAAACATACTTAATCTGAAGCCATTGTTCCCTACAAAATAAATTACAAATATAACAGTATCTCTAGACAACTTTTTAACATTTATAAAGACAAAAGTTTAAATTTAGAAAAAAAAACATTAAGACATACAGAACAGAGACTATAATGGTAACTGCCGATTCTCTTGCATTCTCTAATGTCAGAAGTCACATTAAAGTATTCAAAATTAAGGCCTGCACATGGAATCACAAGTCTTAAAACCAGTCCCAGCTCTTCCAAGCGATTTAATTGACTTGAGACTACAAGACCAATGTCAGTACCTGGAATGGAACCCACATTTTGCAAAGTTAAAGGCATTTCATATCCATTACATCATCTGAATCACAGCCATTATGTATGGATATACATACACTAAAATTATGTCAGAAAGCTTGGAACTAAATCCAGATGTGGATCTTTCCTATCCATAATTTTTCAGTGACAGCAACACTGTTAACTTCCATCAATAAGTAAATTGAAATCTGAATAAATGTAAAATATTTCTGTGCATGTGAAATAGATCTTGCAAAATATGACCGTTTTGCTGATATTTCAGATTTTATATTAGACAGCTTAATGTCATTTCAGACCTCTGTACAGCCCGGATGATCAGGAACAGTAAGTTTTTGTTCTTGTAACACCCTGTGAAGTAATATAGATTCTCTTACTTTACACATGAGAAATTAAAGCACAAAGGATAGAACTGAAGAAAATAATTGGCTCATGAAATCTTGCACGGATTCCTAACTCCAGTGCCATTTTTTTCCAGATTATCAAGGCACATCGTTTGTTATTACAGGCTGGGGAGCCCTCTGCTGGCTAAAACGCCCTTTTCCGTTCCCAAGGATTCTTCTCCTCAACTATCGTCTGTAAACAGACTGTCATGAGTATTCTGCCTGAAGTCATTTCCACATTATATTAAAAACGAAACATGGAAGGGGAAGGATTAGCAAAATTCAGTGACTCACACCTAGCCAGCAGGCAGCTTGTTACAAAAATTCATGCTCCCCTACATCTAATGCTGAGGCTGCAACATGAGTGCTAAAGCATGGATGGGGAACACAGGAGCAGTTCAAGAATTATGAAGACCTAAAACTGCAATAAAGTCAAAGTACTGAGCTTATATAGAGTGTATTGGTAAAGCAAACTACCTTCTGCTATAATTGTTCTGATTGGGCAATTGTTATCTTTTATGCAATTGCAAATACATTTTGTGATGTGTGGATAAAAAAAGAAAGCTAGCTCCAAACCATCTCAATACTTAGCTGCTCATCACTGAAAATGCATAATATCCGACTGGCTTCCTAATTGCAAGTACAGCTTAGCAAACAGTTACAGATAAATGGCACAAATATTCAACCTTGGTCAATGTGTAGTCTAGATAAGTAATGATTAAGGAGAGAATGAAATACAACAGATAAAATTGATAAACCCAATAGAATGTGGCATATATGGGGTTTTGGAAGGCAGAAATTCAATTAGAGGAACAGAGTGTTTTGCAGGCATTTAAGAAAGAAAGTAGAACACTTGATTGATCAATAGATTGACATTCTGGAGGCTAAAATATTCTTAGTTTCACCAGTAGTTAAGTCAATAACTGTGAGTAAACCACTGTTTCTGTCTATGTCAGCCTCCATATCCATGGAATATCTATAATTATATTTTTCTTAAATAGTATTTTTATGCTTAGATCTTAAAGCACTTAAAGAACCCCTACTTCAAAAGAAGCATATTTTAAGAATGAACACAAAAGAGACTTGGTTATGTAGGCTAAACGTAGATGGTTAGTGGAGGAAGACAGAACTGAGAATGTAAAGACAGTCACTCAGAATGACAAGCTGAAGAAGATGAAATAGTAAAAGTCAGAAAAAATCCTGAGATGTAGCTCTGAAAAAGCAAATGAGGAGCTTAAACCTCAGTTACATAATGGATTCTTAAAATCCAGTCTTGTCTAATCAACATGTGGTGTACATGAAAAGTAAATGCATTCCCAAGGTTTGGGGGAGACAGAGGAAATAAAAACAAACTCATAGACTGCATGAATCGGCAACTTATTTTTAGAATTATGTTTGACCTCCTGGCTCTTGTTCAAATTTAAGGTAAGTTATTAACTAAGACAGTTCTGCAGCTTTCAAAGATGAATTTGTGATTAACCTGTGCTGCAAAGGACAGACATCTCTCTCAAAAAACATTACTAGGTTACTTACATTAGCAGTGTATGTGGGATGCAAAGGACCAAAAGAACAATTAATATTTTTTTCTTCCAGGGTAACATTAAGATGCATGGATAGAGTAATATAAGAAAACCAAATTTGCTGTGTGATTCCAACAGTGGGAGATTCTGGCCTCTGCAGGCTTTTGTCACAGAAGCACAAGATTCACTCTCAAATGGAGAAATCTCAGGAAGGAGAGATATCTATCACTGAGAAATTTTCAAGTCTTGCAAGCCACCATGCCATAAAGTCATCTCAGCTTAGCACACCGGACATATATTAAGCAATGAACTTGAACTGCTACATTAGTAATAGTGTTTGATTGTAGTAAGAGTTCTCAAATTCTTAGAGGAGATATGTAAAATATATATAAGAAAACAGAGCAGTTAAAAATAGAACCACTTACCGGGATATATTAAATCTAGGTTCATTTGTAACAACCTTTTCAAAGTTTTCATGTAATCATACAGGTCTTCAATTACTGTTGTTCCTTCCCCTAAAATACAGTCACCGGAAAATACAGCATTTTCTTCTTCTAGATATAAAACCATATGATCATCAGTATGTCCAGGTGTATACAACACTCTGTTTAAAGAACAAAAACAAAAAAGCGTAAATTTTTCATACAGCATATATGCTTCATTTCAGAAGCTAGGAACAAATAATGATAAAAACATACACTTAAAAAGAAGCCCACAAGAACCAGAAAAAAGCAGACCAAAAAAGTTTGAAATGTCGATGTAAACAGGGTATCACTTTGTCTAATCCCAGTCCATTTTCTTATACCATGTAGAGGACACAGATCATCATCTCTAACATGCTTTTACTTACATGACACATCATAATAAAAGTGCATTAAGGGAGCTGGCTAGTCATGTAGAATTTGTGTTACAGAGGGCTTTACTAAAAAACATTAAAAAATAAAAATTGACAGGTTATTTCCAGATTGAAATGTGTGAAGTTCCTGGCATACAGCTTGCATTTTGTAGAAGAGGATAAGGATGATGTTGCCAATTCTTTCAGAAATTAACTATAAACTTCTGGACCCAACCCAGATAAACTTCTGCCTCCTGAAAATTTTTTTCCCTGAAAGCCCCATGACACACTGGAGCAGGGCTGTCAAATACAACAAGGAATCATGGTCTCTTAGCCGTTCTATGCACAGGTCATTAAACATCTGAATGGTAAGGATTTAGGACCCCACAGCTTGAATTAATACTGCATTAGAATGCAGTAAAGGGTGAACAGACAGCTGATACGTATATAATAACCTGAGCTGCTAAGGAGCTACACTGCGGTATCCTTCCAGCAAGATTTTTGAAAGGCAGAAAGCCTCACGCTGAGGCCGGTGCAAGCTAAAAGCACACAACTCAAACCAGCATCACTGCTGAAGGTCACAATATTCTTGTTAATGGCAGATGCATCAAAGCAGTGATCAGGAACTGACAGAGCTGGTGCCAAGCATGGTGTACAGGCCAATGCTGCACAGCACCCAGCCACGTGAGTGCAGGGCTGGGAGGGCACAAGCACTGCACCATCTGATGCAATGACTTCCAGCTCTCACTGAACACCGAGTTCAGCAGAAAGCAGATAATCCATCGCCCTGCAGAGGCAACATAAAAATCAACTTGATGGGTTGCATCTTGCACTTGTAGGAAGTGGTATCCTCCAGTTCCTGATTAAACTTTACCAGGAAGCTTAACCACTAACATGGGAAACAAATGGAAAAGAACCCAACGATGCCTAGCCCACCTTGAAAACTTGAAGGTTGCTAACCAAAATTTAACATGCAGATACTGCTATTTTGGAACTACCGGTGGATCTAAGAGTACCCTTAAAGTGCTTGCAGAATTAACCAGGTGAGAATACCTGTTTTTAACCAAGCACAAAGTTTGGCTGCATTACTCCAATATTTTTAAGGTGAGAAGAAAGACATGTTAAATAATTGATTCAAACTACCATAAACTTCTCCAGAAGCATAAATTGTAATATTAACTACTTATCTAAGTATGATGAGAAAGTATGTAAAATCCTATTTGATTTTCCCAGAGGAAATATTTTTTCAAGGGAAATGTTCTTAATTCTCTGCTGAGGCCAAAAACCAAAGCCTAATTCCTGATAATCCTCATTCATAAAACCAACTTTTTAATATAAACATACCCTGCTGGATCATGATAGGAAGTCTATATGCATAAGAGCTGAAAAGATTAGATGTATGAATTGCCAATCATTAGAAGTTAAGATACATATATGTGTCAGAATTCTGAAGAAAAAAGTGATCCAGCAAACTGGCAGAAATGAGCATTTACCTGAGTGTCGCTCCCTCTGTCTGTATCACATCTCCCTCTTTAAGATAAAGATATTTATGTCCTCCTTCTATTATTTCTTCACGCTGAGGGACACGAGGAAGCTTAGAGATGCGATATTCAGAATCTATTTAAAGAAAGCAAAGGAAATTATGTTTTGAATTTGTCACTAACAAAGCTAATTCCACACGAAGGCTACTTTTTGACCAAGTGCTATTAATTATTACACTGTGTGAATACAAAACCAGGAACAAGAAACTCTGTACTTTATGTTTATAAAGCAACCTTATTCCAGAGCCACAAACACTGAATAGTGAAAGTCACTGAATCTGAATACTGTACTCTCTACCAGCAGCAATTTTGAAGATGAAAAAGCACAAGTTAAATTAATAAAGAAATGTCAATAAATATATATTTTACAAATGTTCCTTCTTGACTCACCAAGAGCCCAAACCCCCAAGTTTCTACAACACTAAGATATCTGCACTCACATTCTGCATTATGATTCACAGAAGCACCATTCAACACTTGCCTATGTCTGGATGAAGGCTTTTTGACCTGCAACTTCCCTCAGCGTCCGTCATTCTGAACTGTACATGAACTGTGAAAGCCTTGGCTGGAACAGCTATGGATATCAACCCAGAAAGGTATTTATATCGCTTGCTAGTCTTTATAACCATGCTCGTGGGTCAACTAGACCAACATTCTCACAAAGACATCAGTTTTGTTTCCAGTAATGCTCAGGCTTTTTCGCACATAAGCACCTGGCAACTTTACAAGATCTGATAAAGCTTGTGACAAAGGGTGTGACAAAGTCCAACAATGCCAAGAAAAACCACATTATCCATACTGCTTATTCTCTTCCTGGATACTAAAGCAGAAACACCTCTTACTGTTTATCTACATGAAATACACATTTTTAGATCAGAATATACCCCCAGACTGCCCTACCCTCTTCCCCTCATGATCTGAGGCCTACGAATTTGTCAGCAATTACTAATGGTCTGCTGGAAAGAATCTCAAAGCTATGTATGTTTCTTCTTCAGAGATTAAGTTATTTATTGTTTTTACACAAGTGAAAATAATGGTCAAGTTGTCATTACCATCAATGTAGAAACAAACAAGTATGAGGTTTTTCTCACATCTCTTAATATCATGCAAACTGCTGACAGTAATCTAAGTTCTCATCATTCACAAATAAGAAAAATTCACTATGAAGGTATGCACTGATATTGAAGAAAAACTGTAGTACTACAACTACCACATTCAGATTATTCATTCCTCTCATTCTACACACTGCAACAGTATCAGGAAACTCCACATAGTTTATACAGAGACTCCAGAGGAATAATCCAGCTGATTTACACTGAAGCACTCTTAAGTTTTTCCTTGCCACATCTCGAACATTTTCAACAATATCTGAAATCTCTGGCCTACCGTTCGGGATGTTTTTGCAGATATCGGGTATTCCACCAGTATGATCACGATGCCAGTGTGTCACTAAAATTTCTTGAATAGAGGAGCTGAACTCTGCCAGTGCCTGCTTCAAACAGCCAATATACTCAGGAATAGCTGGCTCCCCCGTGTCAATAAGGACTCTCCTACACTTGCACACAACAAAAACAAACAAAAAAAAGGGTGGGGGGGAGCAGTGAAAGAATTTAGAGCGCTCATATGACAGTTAAACAGCAATAACGGATATCTCCATATTCCAGACACCACCTCTTCCCTCCACGTCATTCTACCCCCACAG